CGCGCGACCTTGAGAGGGTACTTAAGGATGTGCCAGGATTTGAATAAATTTCAACATGGGATAAGTTAATATATTTTTTCATACATAATCGGTTATCTGAAAAATCAATTTTCCGAACAACTCCAGTCTCCAATTGATTCGGATAATCGATGCTCTACTGTAATTATTTCAAAGTGCTAAGATTTGATTGGACAGTTTGTGTGTTTAATTCTTCGTTTTCTGTGTAATTTTTCAATTGTTACTTTAGAAATGTCATTAAAATTTTGAATTTTATGTCCTACAATCTGAAATGCAATTCTACATGGTAACAATCTTTAACTTTGTAATATCATCATCTGTCCCTTTAAAAAGTAAAAAAGAAAGCATACAAAATAAAAGATATGTCACCTAGAAAAGCAGCTTTAATAAAGCTGATAAGTAAACCAATGACGTAGTCAATTTTAAATGAATGGCCACGTTATTGACTTGCTTATCTGCTAAAGTGGCTACATTAAAGCCACTTTAGCAGATGACACACCCAAAGTCTTTAGATCTTAAATTTTGAGTTAGCAAAAACGGACCTCAAAACTATGTCGAATTATAGAAAAAGAGAATGCATTGAGCCTAAGGAAGTTAAGTCGAGACAAGAATAAAATTCAAGTTAAGAAATTTTGGTTTGTCAAAAAAGTACTTAGCATGCTATATATGCACCAGATTATTATTATCAATATACAATTTAATACATTGTCTATTCATTGTTTTAAAGTTTGATTTCAGTTTTTATTTTATATTAAAAGAATATTACACATTTATTAATTTTGCAGGTAAGGAAAACATCGACTTGAGTAAAGAAAATAATACAGTCGACCTCCCTATAACACTGTTGATAATTCCGTTTTATATGAATTCCATGTTGTACGAGTCACTTAGGTTTTACAAATACATGTGCCGGGCTATGAACAGCTCACGTATTTGTAAAATCTAAGTGACTCGTACAATATGGAATTCATATAAAACAGAATTATCAACAGTGTTATAGGGGGGTCGATTTGTACTATGAATGAAGCAAATGTGAAGTCGGCTCTCTCTGGGGAAGAAAATCAAGAAAGTACTGTAATTAACGAAAAATTTCTTGAACCTTTTAAACATGGTATGAATTTGTTTTATGTTTGTCTTTTGATTAATATACTGTAAAACATTTGTATGAAGGATAATCAGGATTTAAGCTGGGAAAAAATTTTCTATAGCATTTTAGCTAATTTNGGTTGGATGACCATCAAATTACAATGCTATTATTTTCTCGTAGTGGTACGAACGTAGTCTTTACATTATATGTTATGTTGATTTTTATAAAACATTTTACCAAGGAAGTTTATTATTATTATTCAATTTTTTCTCCTTCTTTTTAGATTTGGCACGTTTTGTATTAAAATATCTGTTTTCTCAGCCTTTAAAAAACATAGAAAATTTATTTTTCGGAAATAAAAGTTTATATATCGCTTTTAATAGTTTTTTCCTATCAAATAATCTACCTACTTAATTACATAATCAAATATTGTTCAAATGCAAATAGACGTTTATTGAATAAAAAAGCAAATACTGTTTTTACACATTGGAAAAAGTTTTGCTTTAAAAAGAACTACAGAAAAACCTTTTTTTTGTTTTTTCTACGAAAATGTTTTCGGTCGTTCGACTGAAAATTAAGGGTCTCAATCCCAATTCTATGTACAATGTAACATTGGTGTTTGTTTCCATAGATGAATACAAATGGAAATATATGAACGGATTTTGGTCCACTTCAGGACTCGCAGAACCTCAACCATCACAGGACGACCAGATGACGTACATTCATCCAGAATCTCCAAACTTCGGAAGTCATTTGATGTCTAAGGACATTTCCTTTTCAAAAGTTAAATTAACGAATAAATGCAACAAGACAAATGGAGTAAGAAAATATTTACGTGACTCAGTTAATAGTTCCTTCATAATTTTCTATACGAATTAACTTTATTCTTCTATTTTTTCGCCATTAAGGCGACTTTAACAAATAGGAATTAATAGTAAACTTAATATTCTTTTTATTAAACAAATCGAAACTATTATTTTACTAAAACTTAGATACATCAATTCTTTTGTTATATTTATTTTATTTAAAAATTTAATAATTTGTCCACTAATCCCGAGATAAATCCAGTGATACATCTCAGTAACTCTTTTTTAAACCAACCTTCTATTTATAACTTACATTGGAGTAAGGACAATGGTTTTTTGAAAGTGTGTTTAGAAAATATCAACAAATATAGGTGGAGTTCATTTCCTAGAAAGGAAATATAAACTTTGCATATTTACTAATTACATTTTCTATATTCTTTTTATTCTATCAGTTATTTACTTCTGAATAAAGTGACCAGACCTTCC